ACCCGACTCATTGCCACTTTTATGTAATAGATTGAAGTGTATCACAATATGCAAAAAATTTTATTTTTGGTTTTACGTTCGGTTAGTCACATCTAATAGTTGTAAACAATTGTAACCTTCTTATACCAAAATATTATGATATACATTTTATAAAAAACTATGTCCCCAGTGGGATTCATCTTATACCACGTAATAAAATGCATGGAAATTCAGAATCTGTATTGCCATGGCCCACACTTTGGCAAACTGATGAACTGAATATTCTAAAGTGGACGTTGTTCACCAGGAGGGGCATATATGGTGGTCCAACGGGACCAACTTGTACATGCCAAAACACTTGAAATGTCATAGAAAGTTGAAAGATGTCCCAAGATTGCTGGAAATGTTAAAATTGAGATCAAAATATCATAGATCCCACATCCATCAAAATATGTGGTGCAGATTCAGCCTTGAAACAGTCTTTGATGTGGACGCATTAAATGTTTTTTCTTCTTTTTTTTTAATTTATCTAGAGAGTTATAAACATGGTTTGCATAAAATCTGAAGGAAGGGTTTGGACCCTTGGGACCACCTAATCCACTTCGTGTGCTTTTTGAGGCAATTAAAGTAGATGAAAGGATTGGTAAAATCCTGCTCATTCTAGGAACTGGGGCTCAAGAAAATATGTTTTGGTCACAGCATAGAGCTGACAATAGGGCATGGGCACAAAATTTGGCCCACGGCCCTGGCATGTCCAAAGGTCAGGGGCCATGGCTGGCCTATCCAGGCCCCGTCATGCCTATTCTTTTTTTCTTTTTCTTTTTTTTTTTAATTACAAAAGTTCATTTAGACCTCATCCTAGCTAGGGCTGGCAATGGACCCGACTAGACTCGAGACCCAATAGGCAAACACGACCTTGGGTGTAGGTATGGGTCCAAATTTTGGACTCAAAAAGTCGGTTCGGGTAAAAAACTGGACCCGAATACTTTTATGCTCCAGCTGGATAACAGGGTTAATATGTGGGTATTCATAAATGTTGCCAATACGTTTGTTTTTAGTAATTTCCAGTTATTACCTAAAACAATAAGAAATGTGAGTATATATAATATGTGGGTATTCATAAATGTCGTGCAATACTGCAAATGTTGCCAATAATATAGGTATATTATGGTAAAAAAAGGGCAAAAAAAAAGTAAAGCGCACCTTCAAATAGTATTAAGAAATGTGGTTTCAATACTAGAAATTTTTGAGATAGCCTTAAAATATATTTGTATTTTTAATTATAAAAGTTAAAAGCTTGAAAATTAGTGTAGATCAAGCAAATCTATGAAAACTTGAAAATCTTGGAAATTGACAGTTCAACAATGCGTTACAAGATACATTATTTCCAAAACTTGAAATCCATTTTTTTCTCATGTTCATGCATCTTGATGTTGAGACTATCAATTTGAAGATATTTGAACAGCAAAACAACCTCCTCTAATCAAATTTTTTAGGTGGGCTCTAATTTGATTGTTTAGAGCCTTGGCTATATAAAAATATATAAAAAGAAAAAGCTCATAGTTATAAGATGGCAATGGACATGACAAAATCCAGGACCCGACGAGTAGACCGGACCTGGGGTCTGGGTATGGGTCCAAATTTGGATCTGAAAGGTCGGATCTGAATCCAAAACTTGGACTTGGGTCCTAGCCCAACTGGACCCAACCCGTTGCCACCCCTAATCCTAGCTCAGCCTAGTCTTCTACTTATGTTACTTTTTATTTATTTATTTATTTATTGCAAAGCTTCCATTGGAGCCTGAATAAGGCCAAGGCTAGGTCAGGTTACCTAGCAAGGGCCCCAGGTGAAGCCTAAGCCAAGGGCTCCTTTAGCCCCGGTCCGCCCAGGTCTCTAGGGGCTTGGGACGGGTTAGGCCCAGCCTGTTGTCAGCCCCATTGTTACATTAAAAAAATCACCAAGATACATTTTGCGATCTCAAGTGGACATGAAAATTAAGGCAAATCATCCTGAACGTTGGAACCTACACGATCCATGCAACTAGTATTCACGCTGAATCCCCACCGTAGATGGTGGAGATGATTTGCTGGGTGCAACGGGTGGTGTCCAATAATGAATAGCAAAGTTTACACAATCCAATAGGGCACTATATTGTATAGATAATAATAATACAACTTAGACTAAATAAAAATAAAAAATCTATAAAATTAGGTTGTTCACCATGTTACATAGCTACAGATACAAATATCAGCATTTGACACATATATGAATGTTAGAAAAGCTAATTTCAAATTTATTAATCATCCGACACAACATATTAGTGTACCATAAAGAGGGGGATGTGTGATTTTATTTGGCATGAGCAATTTTTTAATGAGTTTTTAATAATAAAAATTAAGAAATGTTTAAATCTATAAGTGTCAAACACAAGTGTTGTGTCCTTAATGTGTTAAAAAATACATAGACTATAAACGTACATATCCATATTATATTGGTGCTGGAAAAATCCAGTGTAACATATGAAGCCGAATGCGTCCTAAAAGTCAGCTAGTAGTGATGCCATATACTTGGACATGAACAAAATCATACCTTATGTCTCCCAATAATAATTGTGACCTTCTTGTATCAAAGATAAATTGTCTCATTGTATACAATCCCTTGGCTAAATTACTCCTTTTTTACCTCTTTAAGCAATTTTTTTATGTCCAAGAAGCATATCATTTAAATTATATGACTTAGTATAAAATGTGACATTTAAGAAAACCTTAATATTTTGAACTCTATTACATATAGAAAATTTCTAAAAGCTAGGGCCTTGTTGCAAGATGATGACACAAATACGAAAAACACAAAAAAAAAAGAAAAAAAAACAGTATAAGTACTATAGAATTTCTCATGTGAATGATGATTTAAATACAAGTTTTTGAATACTGTTTCATGATTATTCCTTCATGCATGGACTGATATAGGTGAAGGTTATTCACTTCCACTCAAAACCTGAGAGAGATTTTCTAGTTTGGACTCGCTCTAGCAATGATATCTTCTCAGTTAAAGATGCCATGGGAATTTATTAGACATGGGAGTATCCCACAGGCGTCTTTAGAGTGCTATGGTCTTCACGCTTTCATTCAAGAACAAAATGGTTTTTTTGGTTGGCCCTTCATCAACGTCTCCCTACTTATTTTTTATTACTGTAGAGAGGGGCCGTCTTAGATTCCATATGCCCTTTTTGTCCTAACAATGATGACAACATTTGGTCTCCGTCAATGTACTTTCTCGAAGAGGCTTTAGAAATCAACTGGTGATGTGGTAAGAGATTTCAGTTAAACCCCTCCATGGCAGCTATATAAAGGAGATGCACTGCATATAGGTTCAAATCAGTTGGGCTTTCCCACTTTTGTCACCATTGTTTGGTTACTATGGGAAGAACATAACCATAGCATTTTCATGGGGAACATGAGCATCTTCTCAAAATAATTATTTCCCATGTTAATGAGCTTGCGGATCTTAAGTCTTGATCTTTTCATTTATCAGAAAAGGTCATGGCAAACAACCTTCATATTACATGGGTGTCAGCAACAAACTAAAACATGATTCCCAATTGCATGGTCTTTCCCTCTCCCTCATCACTTCAAACTTAATGTCGATGGTGCTTCTCTCCATAATCCAAGGCTCGTAGGTGGAGGCGGAGTTATCACGGTGATGATGGATTTTTTCTTGCAGCATTTGCGCATCCCCTTGGTTAGGCATCTAATAATTATGCAGATTTCTATGCCCTGAAAGCAGGACCTAGCCATACAGCTTGACTGTTTCCCACTGCAGAGATTGACTCGTCTATGTTGGTTGATGTTATTTATAGTCGTTGTAGGGTGTAGGGCGCCATAGTTGCTCCACATTGTTGTTGCCAACTACCAACATAAGCTCACTAACCGTGTGCAATCTTTTTCACACATCTTTTGTGAGGCCAATATGGTGGCCAAGACTCTTGCCAAAAAAGCTACGGTTTTCTTTAATGCCATTATTTGGCATGCAAGACGCGAGATTTTCTTACCCTTCATTTACTTCTTGATGTTGCACAAATTCCTTATAGGGTTGTTAAACTATGAATATTTGACCTTTTTTTCTACTAATGAAAAACAAGTAGGACCTTCTCTCCTACTGACTTACCCACAAAAAATGATTGATAAAGAACTTGCTCTATGAAAAGGCCTTACTCTTCACATTTCATTTTTTTTTTCTCTTTTCAGGGAACCAAACGGCCCTTTAGTATATCCCAATCTTCCTAACCCATTCATCCAAGAAAGTCCTAGTTAACCACAATTTCCAAAAAAAAAAGAAGAAAAGGTTGGAAAATGGTGTACTATAAGTCCGACAATCTACAGATTGAAGGATCGATAAATGAACCAAGGGTAAAGCGTGCCAGACCACAAATTTGGCATACATGTGCAACATGTAAAAAATATAAAAAATGATTCAATAAAATAAAATGACTACAATATCAATATGTATAAAAATTTTAGGGGTATTTTCATCATTTTGGTCAGTTTATTTATTTCGAATTGTCATTTTTTAAATTTTTATGTTGCATGATGATGAGAAGTATGAATAATCAAAATTAAAGCATAATATACAGCATAAAAAAAATAAATGCAAAATGCAATATATGCCCTAAAAAAGTGGGAACAAGAGCGTAAAATATGAAATATTGGGGGGCACTTTCAAAATTTTGCAAAATTAAGGAGATATTTACAAGAAGTTTCCTAAAAATTAAAAAAATAAATACACAGAAAATGTGAGGCAAAATGTATCCGGTTCATGACTCCCTAGAACGCCTCCTCTCCTTAAATCTAGGTCATCTGGCCTATGATACAGTATAAGCCCTTTGGCTTACAAAGATATTAGATTTTTAACAGTCAATCCTTTTCAACCCGGGCAAGTTCCCACTCTTCCACTGAAAACCTAGTGACAGAATAATGATATGGCACCATATTATATGTTCAGGCGTACATAAACCCCTTAAAGACTGCATGAAATTAGGTATTTCATTTTCACAAAACATAATAAACAGTACTGTATACAAGCATTATGACCACAAGTCCAATAACATACAATGATATTTTCGATTTATGGGAACCCACCCATTGCTAATTATAGACTAACAATCATCAGATCTCACCACCCAAAATTGAAATAAAATACATAAAAATTTGAAAAAAGTCCATGCATTAATTTGTGATTGTAGTGGCATTATCATGAGAGAACATTAAAAGCTTGTGCACTACGAGCAACATCGATGAAGACATCTTCAAGGGTGGTGTCAGCCAATCCCCAAGCTTGGATTGTGAATTTTTTCTTTGCAATTTCTACAGCTTGGAACACGTCGGCAATCCGAACCTCTTGCTTTGGCAATTCAAATTTTTGGGTCCCAGAGAGATGGTATATTTTGTTTACATTAGGAGAGAGACGGCTCACCAAATTCTCCACTTCCTTCTCTTCACTAGCAGATGTTGTCATCGTAAATATGTATGACCCGCCATATCTAGCTTTCAGCTGTTTCATAAAAGGTAGAGATGTGTATGTGAGAGAGAGAGAGAGAGAGAGAGAGAGAGTAGTTTCAGTGGAACTGTGCAACAA